ACCTACTATGCTGTATCTATGTATCTGCATCTGAGGCTGCCGTCCATTGTGCGCTGTTGGCTGTTCGGGATACATATGTATCTCAGTATCTATGTATTTATGTATCTGTGTATCTGCAAGGCAGTTGCAGCAAAGAATACCCAAACGAACTAAACTCAAATAACAACATGTTCACGTTTCGTGCTTGGCTGTTGGTTGGCCCATCCATTCACAGGGAGCGCTGGAGAGAGGGAGATGTTGCACTCCACTCCTTCCTCTCGCTTGCTCCGCATGGCGCACTTTTCAGGTCAAGGTCAGGTTGTGCATCTGCGATTGTTTCTCTCTGTGTGTGTGTGTTTGCGAAACTGTTTTTTTTTTTTTCGTTCGTGGAACAAGTAATGCGCTTTCGGAAAGTTGGCTCCTCCGCGTTGAACTTTTTCCTCGGCGCTCATTGACGCGTGTGTGGCACACATCCAGGCACAGATACTTACCATAATTCGATTTCACCCTCACTGCCTGAATCGGGCTTAAACCCATAAGCTTTCAACGAAAAATAAGTAGGGTAAGATGGGGCGGAGAAAGTAAAACGGCGACTCCTTGCTGACATTGTTCTATGATGTGCATAAATTTCGCGCTCGAATGGGTTCTTAAACGCTTCAGCGAGCTCGCTGTTTTTTATTTTTGGAAATATTTCGAATGGGGGAACCCTTTATGGCTTTAAAGAGTAGGTGATGCGACAAGAAACCTGGCCTCGAGTTCATTTAAAAGCCGAGCCAGATGAACTGCCAAGCTCATCTCAATTCTGATGAAGCATTTCTAAAAATCCCCCACCAAAAGGACGTGCTCGGTGAAATAGAAACAAGTCCTTGTGCAAACACCCATTGTGCTGGCCGCCTCCGAATGATGTCCCAACAATGGCGCTCGGGCATTAGACTTTCAGTTCATTTTCATCATACACAGATTTTCCTTGTTTTCGTGATGGGTTGTGTTGTGTTGTTTGGTGTTCCATTATGAAAACACTCTCAAGGCGAAATTGTTGTGTCTTGTTTCATGCTGGGCGCCGTGTGTGTGGTGGGGGATGGATGTTTTGATGTAAATGGGAATGGAAATGTGAATGAGCTGGTTCTTTGGCACAGAGCAGCGGCTCAAGGTTCTCTGCCGGCGGCCGCCAACTCTTTGGACCGAGTACTTGGCATCCTCGCCCTTCCGAGTGGATAGAAGTGTGGACCCTTGACGAAAAAAGCACTTGCCCGCCTCTCTGGCGAACGTGACTCGCCTTCAGGTCGGCAGTAGGTACGGATTCAAAGTCAGGGTCGTCGAGTAACATACTGATACCTGCTACAAAGTACACAAATAATTTGGGGCCTGGCAATTAAATATGCTAATTAATGTGGCCAGCACATCAATTTATCATTTTTTGTGCGGCTCTGTCAATGGTTCTCTGGAGAGACATCTCATCATCTCGTACCCCCCACTTTTTGCTTGTGGCATCTCTAACAAGTGAGTCTCTATACACTGCCGCGTGTTCAGAAGCAGGAGCCTCCAGCCACAGCTGTCATATTTCTGGTCGGGCTGTCAACTAGCTGTCAGCCGGCGCCATTTGTTGCACTTACAATGCCCGGAGGAGGCAAGAAATACGCAATTCGACCTACTGCCTGACTAGAGCCAGTCTGCGGAGACTTATTACGAGGCTGGGCGACTTGACACTTGCTGCCGCAGATTAAATCGCTCGAGAGTGGGGAGATACAGGCAGACTGAATCTATAACTATTTCCAGTCTTTCTATAGCTCTCATGGATTAGTTTCTTGAAATAGCAGGTCCTATAACACCTGTAAGGGTGTATAAGCTTCGGCTCTGCCTCGAGATTACTTCATTTGTTACGCAAGATATCTCAATTTTGTCATCTCAATTTTCGTCTATGATGCGAAGCTGTGACGGGCAGGCCGCAAAAACGCCCTGTGGCATGTCGGAGCTCTGCGAATGTTAATTAAATACTTTACTCCAAGCTGAAGCTGAAGCCCGGCAATCGGATGTCCCGCCCACTCGATCACGTACACACAAATGCCATCATGCCACCATGCTACCATCATGCCACCACACGACCCACAGCACACTCTCACTCGAATTATTACAAATTACGAAAAATTGGCAAGAGCTGCAAGGAAATGACATCAAAATTGGCCAATTGCTTTTGAGTTGAGTTTTCTTTTGGAGTTGAAATGATTTTTTATTCGAAAACAAGGTGCAGAGAAGAGGAAAACGTTAGATCGTTCAAGTTAACTTTAATCAGTCGCTGAAAATGAATTTAAAAACGCTTTCCCAATAACTACGCTAACCCGATCGATAAATAACCAAAAAAACCAAAAAAAAACAACCCTCTCCAGCATGGCGGCCACCGGAAGCCAACTGAGAGCAGCTACAAAATGGCTGCGCTAGCTAGCAAGATGGCGGCCAATATGGCGACCAGCAGCAGCGACCCCCAGCTGCAGCAGCAACCGAAAATGCCACAACAGCCACAAAACGCCAATGTAATGCCAGCTGCCATTATACAGCCCGAGTACTTGCTTAACAATGATCGCGGTTTGTTTAAGGTTTATTGTTTTATCAAAGATTTCATCGGGTAAGTAAAAGGGAATACATTTACTGCAAAAATAGCTCTTCAATTGGATAAACAAGAAGATACTCTTTAAGAAAACTATGCATGCTGCTTTGCCATTTTCCAAGACGCGGTTTTCTTTCAGATATTCATGAATTATACACCAATTCACAGCATATCACATTCACACTCTCCTCCCCCTTTCCTAATCGGTTAAAATTATATTTAACACCTTTATGGTCGGGCTTTCATTATTTTTGAAATTGTGACACCCTTTATGGCACATTTGTTGTTTTTCTTGTGGAACGCGGCGCTTATCGTCTTTCATGATGCACACACAGTCTCACAGTTCCCACCGTGTTTGCCTCGGCGTGTTTGCGCCTTTATTTGTTCGTATAATTCATATTTAATCAACTGATAATATAAGAACCATTTCCATCGCGCCGACTGCCTGGCCCGCTCCGCCTGCTCCAATTTCTGGGCTCCTGGTACAAGGGATGGCATTATCACCTGCCCCGGCAGTCATTTGATAACCGTCGTTTGTTTGATAAAGAATGTTTCACGGCAGGCCGGGAGCTTTGTTATCGCTTCAAATATTAGCTTCATAGAGATGCGATATAAAAAGCTTCAGATAGGGGCTATTTATGGAGTTTACATCTAAAATTAAGATTCTAGATAAGGTACAAACAATTAAAATAAAAAAAAAGTTCGATTCAGGACTCTATATGCATCTTAATTACTTTGCTTTATTAATTTGAGAAGGTGACTAGAAAGAAAAATGACTAGAATTGCCTAGATAGTCTATATAATAACTAAATAGTGTTTTTTTTCCCAAAAAAGCTAGTCCGTTAACCAAATAGCAGATTGTGAAAGAAACAGTGTTGATTAACAAGTGTGTTGTTAACCCTTAAACGGTGAGTAGGGTTTTATTCTCCTCCTTTAATAAAAACAAACAATGTTCTCTTTAACTTTTCTCCATTATAGAAACATGAATTATTTTTTTAACTATATTGAATTCGAAATTATTTTCTATTTTAAAACAATTCAAAATAAATTAAATTTTTAAATGTTGGTAGGTTAGGTGAAATATTTATACCCTTGCAGAGGGTATTATAATTTTGTCCAAAAGTGTGCAACGCAGTGAAGGAGACATCTCCGACCCTATAAAGTATATATATTCTTGATCAGGATCACCTCCTGAGTTGATATGAGCATGTCCGTCTGTCCGTCTGTCCGTCTGTCCGTCTGTCCGTCTGTCCGTCTGACCGTCTGTCCGTCTGTCTGTTTCTACGCGAACTAGTCTCTCAGTTTTAAAGCTATCGTCTTGAAACTTTGCGCACACTCTTCTTTCCTTTGCACGCAGTATATAAGTCGGAACGGCCCGGATCGGCCGACTATATCCTATAGCTGCCATATAACTGATTGATCGGAAATGGTATAACTTTGGTGTTTTTAGAGTTAGAGAGTTCAAATTTGACACGAAAGCTATCTTTGGCAAAACATTACGACATGCCAAATTTCATAAGGATCGGACGACTATATCCTATAGCTGCCATATAACTGAACGATCGGAAGTGACCCAACTTTCGTTTTTTTGAAGATAGAAAGCTGAAATTTAATACAGATTCTATTTTTGGTCAGTTGATCTAACGTACCAAATTTCATAAGAATCGGCTAACTATATCCGATGTTTGCGATATATATCCGGTTTTAGCTGCAAGGGTATATAATTTTCGGCTCCGCCCGAAGTTAGTTTTCCTTTCTTGTTTTATTATAATAGAATCATAATAATTATTATGGTATATTAAAGCTATATTACATTTATTGATCCACTTTCGTTCGTAAATTTAATTCCTCCATCCCATGCAAAAATAGAAAAAGTCTTTTATTTCACGCATTAGAAGATAAATAAATTTTAAAATATGGAAAATATTCTCCTGAATTCATCTTCAAGGAAGAATTTTCTCCGTATTGTAGACTTGTATTTTGTTGAAATATCTAATTTTGGAAGAGGAAGGCTCCACTTCCATCTAGTGATTATCTCAATTATCTCTCTCCAATCAAAATCGGTATTAATTCTATCTTGGAGTTTTTAAAAGTAACTAAATTAAACCACTTCATTTTAAACTATTTATGGAATATGTCAAGGAAGGAACAGGTTATATACCCAAATCATATCTATGTAGCTTAAAACCTTCGATGTTATATAGATAGATTCTCTACTGGAGAGATGCTTTGATGCTTATATTGTGTTCAAAGACTTCTTAAGCAAAGCATCAATTTACGCTTAAAAACACTGGATAGTAAAGGACTAAAAATGAAACGAAATTTCCTCATACCTCATAGTTATTGTATCATGAATCAAAAAGCCCCTAGAATTACCCAGATCGTCTAAAATATCTAGTAGCCTAGGAGTAACATAGCAACAGCACACTCGTCTGCTCGAAATATTCAAACAAAATAAAAAATACCATCACGGAAAGCGTTAGGCCACACTAGTCCCTAGAAACAAAAATTTATAATTTCGCAAAACCCTATTTCGGTCCAAAAATGGAAGTGGAAGAGATCTCGGGAGACTACGTCATTGTAGTCGGCGTTGTCCTGACACTGATTGTGGGCATCCTCTCCTATGTCTGCGCTTATGTTTTCGATTTCAAAAGCAAGAAAGCCGAGCAGGTAGACTTGAAGAAGAACTTGGCACCCAGAGAGCTGCCTGCGCTGGGAACTATAAAGTTAACCCTGGACCAACTCCTGGGGTATGACGGGACTCGTAGCGACGGCAGGATCCTGGTGGGTCTCAAGGGGAAAATCTACGACGTGTCCAGCGACTTGCAGGAGTTCGGATTGGGCGGAACACTCAGCCACGTGGCTGGGAGGGACTTTACCAACTACCTCAACCACATAATGCGGAGCAACCAGACGCAGACCAACTATGTGGACCGCTGGGAGGCCATTCTAGAGACCAACTACTCGTGTGTGGGATTCATAGTCGATGAGCGTGGAAAGCCATTAGTCGAAGGCACGAAAATAATGGATGATGAGGATCAAGACGCTGCAGTTCCAGAAACCAACATAGTGCCGAACGAGGTGTTGGAGACTGAACCCCTTCCCGCTGCTGAAGTGGACCAGAAATCCCTAGAGAATCCTATGGTTGGATTGGCAGCAGCGACCTCTGAAGCCTAGACTCCTAAAAGTTTCAATCCATTCCGATTTCAAATTTCAAATATTTTCCTACACTCTTTGCTACGCTCTCAGTTTTGTGTTTTCTAAAAATTATTAAACCTGAGAAAGGCTCAACTCTCTAAAATAATATCGCAATATTTTATATATGTAGTATTTATCTATATAGTATCGCACCCTTCATGGTCAGCGATAAACGTCCAATTAGGCGGTGTTTTCGATTTGACGCTGTGGGACATATCCATCCAATTTATGAATCGTTCTAGAGCCATCTGCCTGCCAACTGGCTGACAAAAGAATCTTCGAAACCGAAAACATGGGAGGGTCCTAGCCCATTTGATGCCCGAATGCCCGAATTCTGGCCATCAACACCCACTCGCTTGGTGGCACAAATCACGGCCCGATGATTGCCAAAATTGGCTAACCACGAAGAATGCAATTTTCCTCTTAATTTTGTGGTGTGACGGGGCTTTTGGCCAACAAATTGCACTGTGTGACGTCTTTTGGCAGGCAGCTCTTGCAAATTACTTGAATCTATTTCTACAGATAGCCACACGCTTATTTTTTTCATCTACCTGATTACGGCCATTAATTAAATCAGTTCGTGCCCCTTGGTCGGTTTTGTTTTCATCTTCATTGTCGCGGCATTTGCGTCGTTCTTAGAACTTATATTTATTTTAGACATAAGCACTTAAAATTGATTGGAATTGGATGGCGATTAATTAATTGATGTTTATTTTTTGCATTTCTTTGCAGGTAAGCGTGCTTCCATTCCCCTAGAGCGTGAAAGACAGTAAGTTAAATAATGATATCGGTGGAATTAGTAGCCTGGATGTCAGCTGAGGGTTTAGTATGCTTCACAGAAGGGTTAATGGGCATTTAATAATTGAAAATAATACTACAACTACCTTTTATAGAATGACATGTTTAAAAGAAAGCAATTGTTGATCCAACTACTAGTCTTTTTATACCCTTGCAGAGGGTATTATAATTTTGGTCAAAAGTGTGCAACGCAGTGAAGGAGACATCTCCGACCCTATAAAGTATATATATTCTTGATCAGGATCACCTCCTGAGTTGATATGAGCATGTCCGTCTGTCCGTCTGTCCGTCTGTCCGTCTGTCTGTCCGTCTGTCTGTCCGTCTGTCTGTCCGTCTGTCTGTCTGTTTCTACGCGAACTAGTCTCTCAGTTTTAAAGCTATCGTCTTGAAACTTTGCACACACCCTTCTTTCCTTTGCACGCAGTATATAAGTCGGAACGGCCCGGATCGGCCGACTATATCCTATAGCTGCCATATAACTGATTGATCGGAAATGGTATAACTTTGGTGTTTTTAGAGTTAGATAGTTCAAATTTGACATGTGAGCTATTTTTGGCAAAACATTACGTCATGCCAAATTTCATAAGGATCGGCCGACTATATCCTATAGCTGCCATATAACTGAACGATCGGAAATGACCCAACTTTCGTGTTTTTGAAGATAGAAAGCTAAAACTAAATACAGATTATATTTTTGGCCAGTTGATCCAACCTACCAAATTTCATTAGGATCGGCAGACTATATCCCATAGCTGCCATATAACTGAACGATCGGAAATGGTATTTGGTAGAAATATCAACTTTCGTATTTTTGAAGATAGAAGTTTGGGTCTTTTTTTAGATTTTGTATTGAAATAAATAGGATTATATATTCCTATTCCCATAAGGATCGGCCAACTATATCCGATGTTTGCGATATATATCCGGTTTTAACTGCAAGGGTATATAAACTTCGGCTCCGCCCGAAGTTAGCTTTCCTTTCTTGTTTTTATTAAATCCCCTTGATAAATCCCCAGACAAGCTTGTAAGCGCCTTGCCAGCGCCAGTCTCTGTTGGATCTGGATGTTTGCACAACTTGAGACCGTTTAATAATAACCGAGTCCGAGTTGGAGTTGTGCCTGGAATATTGACTGTTAATTAAAGCCGCCACTCAAATATTTGCCTTGTGCTGCTGTAAGTGCTTTAAAAACAAAGCCGATATCATCAGGCACACCTGGTAAATCCTAAAGGGAGTTCTATAATGCAATAAACACAAAGAAATGGTTCTCTCATTAGAAACATTAGCAAATAATTATGAAAATTCATATATTCTTCAATATGCGGAAGGATTTCCTGCCTTTGGTATCAGCCAACGATGACTAATGCTCTAAAAATATTTTCTGACTAAACAGCCCCAAATGGCCGGGCTTATCAGACACTTCCACTATAACCCCCTCATAAAGATTACGGCTGGCCAGATAAGACTAGGGTTCTTCGACAGCTGGCGTCTTCCAATGCCCTTCAGCCAATTGCAATTAAATGCCAATTAGACATTTATACAAAAAACCCAACAACTATAGCTAGAGATATAGATCGTATGCTGCACTGTAGAGGGAAAGCAGCGCATAAATTTCAGCTTTAGCTGAAAACTATTTTTGCCGCCTCAACATTTGCTCAACTCTAATGAGCCAATAAATTCGCATTACGTATACGCGCAGGTGGCCAGCGTTTGTAATTTGCTTAAATCAGAAAGCAAAGCTGAAGCGTTGCATTTTCCCGTCCGCCTTTCCGCCTCTGGCTTTTCTTTCACTGAGGCCCGACCGCGGCCGATCGTTGCTTATAAATTTCACGCTGCCTCGACACTTGTCGCCATTTCTTCGCACCCCATTTTCTTCGTTTTCATACTCTGCAAGGGTGTACCATCGTTTTGCTTATGAGTTTGAACTATTACACCCCCATAAACGCCTGCTTTTGGGGACATTTAGTTCAGGAGTATTGATAGTTTGATAATATTGATAACTGATATTGGTAGCTTTTCACTTGACTTGATACTTTATCATAAAGAAAGAATAAAAAGAAATCGCCATAGAAATTACTATGAGAACCAGAAAAAATCCGTATTGTATAATATTTACTAAAAGTTATAAAAAAAAATTTTGTTTTAATTTTAAGAATTGTGGGGGAATAAATAAAATACCATATATAAACCATACCACCATACCATACCAAATACCGTACATTCTTACGATGAATACTAAGGGGCCTTTTAAGGGGCAATATCACAGTCACTAGGATGTTGTAAAAATTAAATTGTGCGGGAAAAAACCTTAAACTCGTTTTTTTTTAATCCCGGTTTGTTAAATTTACTCGCAGCATACATACTTTTCCATTTTTTCCTTGAAATTCCCACTTTTAATTTTCAAAAACTAAGTGAAGTGAAGTTAGTGAAGTTTTTAGTGAAGTTATTAATTTTTTTAAATTAAAAATTGTGGGGAAAATGGGTAAATAAATAATTAGGACCTTTATATTAGAAAATGTATGTTATTTTCACTCATAATATTCTGTAAGGTATTCTATACTTTCAACAAAATACATTTTTGTGTTATAAAACAGTAAGGATATTACATCTTCGACATAAGCCAAAGTAGAGTCTTCTGTTCCTGCTACTTTGTATTTCCTTGTACTTTGCATGTCCAAGCTTATGACGTTTGTTGTCTTTCTTTCTCTGCTCGTAATGTTCCGATAAATGACTATTTGCTTAAACGACAAAGTCAGATGATCAACATGGAACATTCGATAAGTCTGTGCGGTCCCAAAGTATTCGCAAAATATTGCTTTGTTTACTTTGATATTTTTTTTTTTGGATTTCCATATCTGCTTTTATTTGTCGAGTGGTTTATAATCAAAGAGTTCCTGTCATTCGGTTATTGTTTGTTCCTGTGACGTCAAGTGATGAAAGGCCTATGAGCATCTGATCTATAAGGTTTAGGTCCTAGGCGTCTTATAGTTCTGAAGCATTACCTTCTTTGATACTGATTTTAGCTCTCATTCTGACCTAAGCTTGTTTCTAAGTTTGTTCCCAACAGGATCTTCCTATCAATATAATTTACATATGACTTACAATATAATTCCCCAGTCTGAAGCCTCAAATCCTTGCAGATTAGTTTGTTGGCCTGAAGACTCGATAAGGGCTTGATAATTGTGGAGGAATCTACCGCCGTATTTTAGTTACCAACTCAGTTTTGAATATCTGCGTGGCTCTTTCTAGAATCTAGATAATTGCAAGCCTTTTCAATAAAGCCCCATTCAGAGAAGGAATATGGTCTCAAGTCGTCTCCTCCTCTAGACACCCACACGCCTGATACCCTCCCCTCCCGGACCACCTGAGCAACTCTATTTGTATTCCCACTCCACCTATCACTCAAAAGTAATTATCGGGCCCGATTAGATAGAGCTCCGGTGATAAGGCGCCCACTACGCCACTTTCGATGTAATCTGCTGTTTTTCGCGTTTTGTCTAAAATGTTCGGCTGTCGGCTCTTTCTTGTTATCGTTCATAGCCTCGGTGTGTGCGGCCATCAAAATTTTGCTCCAGCGGCACAAAAAAAGAACAAATTTAAATAAAAAAAGCTTCGGCTCCGGTCGGGTGTATAAATTTTGTTTCTCGCCTATTTATTCGGCGGTGTCGTTCCCAAACTAGAGAGCGGAGAAACGCAGAAAAATGTATTTTTGAAAATAATTTTATTGCTGCCGCCGCCTGCGTCGAGCGCTGCTGCTGCTGCTTCGTTTTCGTTTTTCGTTTTTGGATTTTTGTGTAAAATCAGTTTTCAGTTTCTGGTTCGAACTCAGTAAACAAAAACTTGTCGCCGGCGTGAGACGCGAAACGGGAGCACATCTTCGCCTCAAAACATTACAAAGCCAACATCCAACAGCCGCCAAAAGTAAAACTTGTGCTGGTGTTCAGTGTTTACCTAAACAATTGGCTAGAGTTCGAGTTGAATGCTCGCCAAAGGTGTCTGCCTGTTTTTTTTATCTTTCCGATACGCGTCGAGCGATGACGTGCTGCGCCACTGTGTCTCTACCCTGACCTTGTTACTGTCCGATTGTGAATTCTGCGCTTATTTATCTCCGCCGAGTGAGCTCTCTGTGTACTGGCCAGATACGGATCGGATCTATCGCACGCACAATTTGTCTGAATCGAAA